GGTCTCCTTCGCTGCGAGGTTGCTGGATGACCCGGCCACCCGAGCCGCGATGATTTCATTGGAGCCTCCAAAGCCGGACACTTTCAATCGCAACTTGGAAACCACCGACTCAGATTTGATGAATGTCATTACAGCCTTGACGGTTCGGGTACAGAGTGTCCGCTGCGGCTGCCTGCAGGCAAGTGCAAGATCATCTGCACAATGGGACCCTGCTGCTGGGACGTGGACATGCTCACCAAGCTCATCGAGCCTTGCCCTGCCTCCTTGGGCTTTGATAACCTTTCCGCCCCCTCTGCTTAAACACCTGTTGCTACTCGTAGGTACGGTATGTAGTTGCCTGGAGCCCTAGGGGGGGTTGAGAGAGGCTTAAAGCAACTGTAAAGCATTGTGGCTGAGCGTGCTCCGCGAGCTTCCCGGCACTGTCGAAGGAGTTGTTGCTTGTACTGGAAGCAAGATGGGCACCTGGGAACAAAGAGCAAGTCTCCGAGGATCAGGGCATGAACATTGCTCGCCTGAACTTCTCCCATGGAGACCACGAGGCAAAGTCCGTGCTTTGGAGCCTGCGCGGACGTGACAGCCATGTGCCCTTTGAGGCCCACGGCAAGACTGTCGGCCGAGTTCGCGAGGCATCGGAACAGGGTCCACCCTCGGACTGAAACTAACATATATATATATATACATACACGCCACTAAAGTATAGTTGATACTATGTTATACTAGAAATATTGTATACAATACCATAATGTAGTATACAATGCAGCAGTATACTGTACTATCCGTTTTATATAGGGCCTGCGATCCGAAAGGCTTCAAAGCTTCGTCCCGACAAGCCGGTGGGAATCCTGCTGGACACGAAGGCCAATGGCACGCTTGTCATGATCTAAATCCTGCATCACACATCATAAGGAACATACCATAGTTCCCATGGTTTAGGGTCCTTAAGGTCATGCAGGATTTATATCATCAACAGTAGGTCCTAACAGCCGTCCGGAACGACCATGTCTGGCAATCCGTCCCTGTGACATGCCAGGGACCCGAGATCCGCACAGGCTTCTTCAAGGACAGAAGCAGCCCTTCGAGTTGTCATCTGGCATCAGTTTCTATGGGGGGCCATCCTTGATAGAAGAACTTCCAGTTCCGTCTTTGCAACAGGAGGAGCTCGCAGGTGGGAAGATCAACCTGAAGGAAGGCCAGGACCTGAAGTTGGTGACGGACTACGGCTTCAAGGCCGGAAGGTCAAGAGGAATCAAAGACGCCGACCCGAATTCGAACAGTTCTGGAGCGGTCCAGCCCTTGCGGCAGCCCTGCAGCTAAAACTACTGATCAAGGGTTTTTTTCTATGAGCGAATCACGGCAGGCAGGCGTACCTCCTTTCCGTGTTCTTTCGGGCATACGGAGAGGAAAGTTGCAAGCACCAAGCCTCCGTGAAGAACTTTGTTTCTGTTCGAAGCTTGATACGGACGGATATCTTGGCGAGTTGTACGCATTATGAAAGGTCACAATTACTTACAATTACTTGCTTACCTGCCTAAGTCCATGAGAGACATCATGCCGTCAGGGAGACGACAAAACACTTGCGGTGTCGTATGCCACGCTGCCTACGGCCGTGAAGCCAGGCAGGGCATGTGATCGGACTTGTCACAAAGGGTCAAGAGGTGCTTGTCGGCATCGGTTGCCGGCATGTGGGAAAGCAGGTCAGATCATCCTCGCCGCGGATGGATCGCTCTCCTTGAAAGTCAAGAGCTGTGGAAGTGACCATGTCATCACCGAGGTGCAGCCAGATCGAGTTTGTAGCAAAGCCAGTGCTGTCGTTGTAGAGTGAAGACACATCCAACACTGTCCCTCGTAGCACGTGGAGCACCTTTCTGCGCGGCCTGTTAGGTGTTGAACGACATCGCCATCGGCGAGAAGAAGAACATGAATCTTCCGGGGGTGAAAGTTGAGCTGCCGGTGCTTCAGGCCAGACTGCAATCAATGAAGTCCTTTGATATTGCGATGTCTCTCTCTCTCTCTCTATCAATCTGGACTTCGAAGGAGAAGGACAAGAAGGACCTCCTTGAGTTCGGCATTCCACAGGCGGGTAGGGGAAGACATGTGCATTGACTTCCCAATGGCTCCGCCGAGCATGCCAGGGCGTGGACTTCATCGCCGCCAGCTTCGTGCAGGCATCCGCATCTAGTTTTGCGGTGCCAGGTGCACTGCATGAGGGGCAGGGAGGTTTGACCACGTGGTCTGATGCAATGCGACGTGATGTGATGGGCCAGCTTTCATGTGCGAGAGCTGACGGAGATTGCTCAGGATGCAGCAGACGTGAAGCTCATTCGAGACACACTGGGAATGCGGGGTCGTACCATCAAGATCATCTCGATTCTCGTCCTTGTTGCTTTTCACAACCCAACTCGTTCAATCTGTGCACTATCATGCTGAGACACTACTTGCCCTGTGTGACTGCGCTCAGGAAGATCGAGAACCAGGAAGGCATCAACAACATCGATGAGATTGTCAAAGCGACTGATGGAGTCATGGTTGCCCGCCATTGTCTCGGCAACGGGCAGGGCTTCGCCTGGTCGGCGTGTCTGCATGATCTTGTTCTGTGGCTCAGGTGGCGATATGGGTATGGAGATTGACATCGAAAAAGTTGGCCTGGTGCAGAAGCTCTGCTGGCATAGTGCAGCTTCAATGCTCTCCCAAGGGAGGGAGAGAGAGAGAGAGAGAGAGAGAGAACTTCTACCCCTACAAAGCCCCGAAACAGGGGTGCGCCTGTCGGCGCGGGGTGCCTCGCACGCACCCTATGCCCCGGAGAATAGAATAGAATAGGGAGAGAGAGAGAGAGAGGGCTAGCCCCGTATGCCTGGAGAAGAAGAGAGAGACGTTGCCCTTGTTGTTGGTTCAGTGTGGTTGGGGCCCCCGTAGCCAACCATGACGACATCTGTCGGAACCTTTCGTTTTCGCGTGAGCTGTAGCACCGAAGAAACTTGCTGCATTGAGACATGATACGGTGGAGATCGGAAGGGGCTGAGCCCCTAGCTTGACACCCTGGGCAGATACACTCTCAGCATTCCTGCACTCACTGCGTGATCCTCATTGCTTGTGCTGCTTGCTGTTCCCAGGAAATGTCAGGGCTCTTGCTACGGCTAAAAGCCGAGCGTCCAGCCAACAGACGGGCGTCCTCAACGGGGGCTTGCGGAAAGAGCGAGAGCGAGGGAGAGAGAGCCGCATCGCAGAGTTCCAGCCGACTCCTGTTCACCAGACAGTGATCAATTAGGGGGGTTGCAGTGCTAGTATTTTGTTCTGTTTCAACGTCGCCTGTACAGAGCAGCAGCCGATTGCGGCGATTTCCTCGACCCAAGCCACGCGGTGCTTTTTGGTCCTAGGTGGGGTCCAGTGTGGGAAGCCTGTTTGTCCGACTCTGTCACACCGGTCCTACTCACAGTCCTCCTCTGGAGAGAGAGAAAGACAGAGAGAGCATTACATTAGTCGTTTGGCGTTTGGGGGTACCAGGTCTAGTGGCAACTATTTGGCTGTCCGGTGAGTGCAAGGGTTTCAGTCCGCCCCTAATTTCCCAGTGCGCGGTTCTGCGCGGAGGGGATGTAGTCGCTGACCCCTTTGGCTGTGCTGAGAGAGAGAGAGAGAGAGAGAGAGGGAGAGAGAGAGCGAGAGAGAGGGAGAGAGAGAGAGGGAGTCAAGTATGGGTTCAATGATGCTGTTCATGTGAGCTCCATGTAACCTTTACTGCTGCGTAGCATGCTAGGGGACAACGAATAGCCCATCATAATGGGGGGAACAACTCCATTTGAACACCCTTGGAGCTGAATCGATGCCCTGCACGTATGTTACTCCTTTAGGTGTATAGCAGCGCTGTGCCATTGCTTGCAGAACTCAAAGGCTCCGGGGGAAACACGTCAAGCATGGCCTTTGTCTGAGAAAGTTGCATCCAGTGAATGTTTCGATAGCTCCTTCGATGTGTGGTATGAGTGATTGCATTGCCTGTCCTCAGTTAGTTTGCAACGCCTGCGACATTTCAGCGTGGACAAAGACCTTTTCTGGGGGAAAATCCTCCCGTAATTTCGAAAGTCGTACCGACTCTCGGGGAAACAATGCCAATAGATCGAATCCTCTTGATCCTCTTACAAGCTAGCTATGGTGTAAGAGCTTTCGAAGTCGGGGGATTCAACGTTAGCACTGATGCATGTGTCATGGAGAGCATACAATCACCTTACCTCGTTATCGTAAACTTTATGGCTATAGCCTTCCAGGTGATTTATGCTCGCGCTTCACTCCCTTGCGCCCAACTAATCATGTTGGGTGGGCATGATGCCCGGGGGATTTGACCGTCCCCCATGCCCTGGAGAGAGAGAGAGAGAGAGAGAGAGACAGAGAAGCGCCTCTGTCGTGGGGGAAGGAGGTCTTGACCCACTAACCGCAAATGCCCTGGAAGCAAGCAAGCAAGAGCGCAAGAGAGACATGCCTGTCCGTTTATCTATCCTAGGTGCGGTAATTGCATGTTGTCTGTACGCCCAGTAAGCAGTCCGGGGATCCCAACACACAGCAAAGTTGGAGCAATGGAACGGGGACCGCAATGATTTTTCCCCTGAGGTGTTTGAGTTCCCTGGCCCCTCTGCTTCCTCCCATACCCGACAGGACCCGCGTGCAGCTCCCAATCCCCGAGCGTTTTGCGAGCGAGCGAGCAAGAGGGCCAGACACACTCCGTTGACATGTCTTTCCGAGCGCTCAGCCCACCCTCGCCCAGCCCGCCCAGCCCTTGCACCCCCAAACACATACCCCCCGCTTGGGCATGCTCGACAGGTGGCCAAGGAAGGGGGTTGCGCGAATTGCGGGGAGCCCGTGTCCTTTTCCCCCAGCGAAAAAAAGACGGGGCGAGAGAAAGTATGTAGGAGGCAACTCCAAGAAGTCCCTACCACAGCCCTGGCGAAAGAAAGAAAGAAAGTAAGAGTGCAAGCAGGCAAGAGAAGGACCGCGAGCGAGCAACCGATAGTCAGGTGCTCCGAAAATGTTGAGACGTGGACAAGATGCTTACATTTGCTTCATGAGCTCCAGGAGGCAGGGTTTGGCAAGGCACGCTTGCGCCACGTGAGTGCACTTTGTCCAACGATAAGGCAAGAACGAACTCTGACCAGAAGAGCTACCGCTCCCCGATTCGCATGGCCGGCCACGGCTTATGTTGCTTGGCATCAGGGGTGTGGAGCATGTCGAGCCCGAATTTTCAGGCAAATCTTCGCAATCTCAAGTCGTGCGTTCAACGCCGAGCATGTGTTGTCAGGTTGGGAGTTGGCAGCGAATTTGTATGTTCAGATGGTGAGATGCCACTAGACAGCATTGTTTTCCTTCGGCGTTCAGCTGTGAGTGGTCTCTTGTTCTGCGAAGGGCCGTGCGAGACTTGTCTCGCAGAAGACTTGGGCACGCCATGTTGGGATGGGCGAGGGGCCGTCCCATCCAAGGCGGGATTCCGGACACTGATGCCTCAGCCTTCAGCGCCGCGGCCTGGGCTGCCGAGGCCGCAGAAGCTGCGGCCACCGTGGCAAGGCTGTGCTCGGCATGGCAGATCAAAGCAACAACTGTGGCAAAAGGATCGCCAGGGGCGTCGATTTTTTTATCGACAAGGACAGACTGACAGCGCTATGGTACAAAGGCCTGGCAAAGCTCCAGCGGAAAGCGTTGTCGGGTGCCCAGGTTGGTGCGTGGCATTCTTGTAGGGTTTTTGGAGCTGGACCAGTCAGCAGCTGCAGGCACACGGATTCGCACCGGAACCCACTTCCGAGTTCCCTCCATCCAAGGCGCAGTGCTTGGCGCCAGCTGGGCGACTCCATCCCTGGAACTTGCAGGGATGGTGCCTCTCGTTTGGAAGGCCTGGAAATCCGGGGCATGTAGGGGCCGCGCGTGGTCCGTTTGATTCTTGTGCCCAGTTCAATGACTCGTACGGGCCTGGTCCATAAATTGAAATCACAACGGCAAAGGAGTTTCAACTAGAATCTAGAAAGTTGAGGGTGCTGCGGCGCCACGATCATTACGCCGAAGTTGGTTAAGCTGTCATGATGCGGATCAGAGCCGGAGTCTTTTCCGTGGTCATCTTCTGAGAACCCTCCTCTAAACGTGAGGCACCGAGGATGTCCACCCAGCCTCCCGCAGTGGCCTGGGCGCTGCAGCGCAGCCGTGGTCCCCAGCATGTCTGCACAGAATCCTCTCGGGAGAACTCAACTCCTGCCGGGCTGGGTCCATGTGAGCATTGCACTGATGTGAAGAGCTCCAGTATGCAGCTTTTCAGATTTTAGGCACTTCTCAGCGGCCTACCCACCGATGGCACCACCACGTCGCTCGCGGCCTACAGGGCACACGTCAAGTGCAGGACTGACGATGCCAAGAGAAGTGCAAACACAAGGGAGGCTTTACGAGGCTTTACCAGAGCACTGCTGAGAATCCAAGGTAACCCTGGGCGAGGCGGCATGCGGCATGAGTGGCTATGATGACTGTGCTGCCACAGACATCTGTGTACATAATTTAGCAGCACCTTAAGTGCTGCAATGCCCCAGAAGTCTGCTCGTCCGACAAAATTGTAATGCATCCTACGGCTTGCTTCTTGTTGTTTGTCATGTCCAGCGTTTACGGCACGGTTGTGCTTGATGCGCAGTCATGGCTACTACGTACCTTCGGCTTACACCCAAGTGTGGTGCGGTAGAACACCAAAGAGATGCCCAGCTTAGATTAGCCGAGTTACCACGATCCCGCTGCCCTCTCACATGTTGCTGTGCACCTTGCGTAAGCATGGCTTAGGGTACTGCAGCCCTACAGATGGAAAAGGCCCCAAATGGGCCAAGGACTTCTGCCATTGGCTCGCTGGCTGTTCCCCATAAGTTCACCGAAGGGTGGTTTGCAAGGCTTTCACGATCTTTCCCGGGTGCCTCGCACTTCAGGTAGCATCAGGTAGCCCCAAAGCCCATTCGTTCCTGCAGTCTCAAGGAGCTGTCCAAGCCACTGCCGGGGTCTTGGCGTTTGTGAGCACTGGAGCTTTGCACATGGCAATCGCGGAGAGATGATGTGGCGAGAGCGGCACAAGGCTGATGAAACCCCTGCATTCCTGGGAACGGAAGCCTGGAGCCTGACCTCGGCAGTCCGCGAGACACACACGCATCCGGATTTTGGGGGTTCTGGAACCTTCACGAGGTCGATGCCGGACGACGGAAATGACATGAAACGAATTGCTGCTAGATCGGAACTTGCGGAAATCTGCCCGATGAGGCCACAGATTCTGTGCCAGAGACGCGTGGCGTCGCGGAGGTCCGATGACAACATGTTCGCAACGGAGCGCGTATAACGAGTATCTGGCGGTTCAAGGAAGAATGTTGGATGGTTTGCTGCCGAGATATTGCGGCAGGATGCCAAAGAGAGAGGCTCAGAGCCTTCGCAACCTTCGCTTCGGCGTTACTCCGTTCACCTGCTCGAGCACAACGCAGCAGAGCCCGGGACCTCAACGTGCTTCAGGGGCTGATGGCTCTGGCTCTGATGTTCCAGGCTCTTGCGGACATGCTTTTGTCCATGGGCAAACCTGCGGGACATCCTTTATGCAGATGCTGTGTGTCTGGAGCCTAGTAGCTTCACAGACGTGAGCGTCATGTCAAGCCTTGTGTGCTGAGGCTGTGTGTGGTTCTATCTTAGGAGCACAGACGATGCTAGATCGAGGCAAGCGCTGGCACCAGCTGTCCCGAGAAGAGCAGTGGATGGAGATGTCCATCCTCCATGGCCCGGAGCCCCAGACGGGTGACAAGAAGGCGAAAGCCCATGTGGCGATTTACCGTGGGCCACAGGTCTCAGGATTGATGGGCAGCACGGGCATTTGGGAGACATCTTGGCGAGGGAGGTTGAGAGTGAGTGGGGATCGAGGCGGAGTCACGGCAAGCCTGCGGCGAGCCCTATGGCGACACCTCTCAGCCGCACCGCTCTCGGTTCTGTGCAAGCTTCAGCACTGCAAGCTCGCGCTTGTGGGAAGCTTCCACCGGCTTTCGCAGTTTGGAGTGCCTTCGCTTCTGCTGAGGTGCAAACTATCGAGCAACGCTCGACTCTCAGCCTCACTCAACTGCTAAAAACGCGTCAATGTCCGAAGAAGCAGCGATGTCCGGCCTGCCCTTGAAAAAGCAGAGCAAGCACTACGCCCATGGGTCCTGAAGCCTCGCTTTGCTCTCGCCTTTTCGGGCGGTCGATGCCTGTCCTGCATAACCGCTCATTACAGCTTGTTTTGAAACACAGAAATCAAACTCAGTTTACGATTTGACATCTCTTCCCTGTAGCTTGTGCCACCGTAGTTAGCAATTAGCGAGTTTCGGGTGCCACGCTGGAACAACTGTTGTACCGGTGGTCTCGTGGTTGACGTAGGCTTCAAAAATCGCAATTTGCCTGACTACTGGATGTGATACAAGTAGGTCATCAAGTCAGCTCTGGAAGGCCGGGCTCAAACCAACGAACGAACTGCATAGGATGCTCCGTCCGAGCTGTTTCTCAGATATTTTCTTTGAGAGCCACGCCAAGGCTACCAGCACCAGCTGGGCGTTGCCTCGGCAACGGAGGCTTTCGAAGCGCTACTCAAGAAGCCGCTGCCGGGGACCCCTGGATCGGAAACAGATTGTGGATCTTCGGAGGGAGAGGTGGAGCCTTGGGGACTTGCTCCAGGTTGAACACCTCGCGCGAAAGCACCAAGGTCACAAGCAAAGATCTCCGAGATCGAGCGCGATGTCCACCGCACTTATCCAAGCCACGAGCGCTTCGAGGGCCAGGAAGGCACCACCTGTTGGACCACTGGTAGACGAGCCGCGTTTTGCACCGACTCGACACCTCCCACTGTTGCAGCAGAAGGTGCCAAGGGCAGAGCGGAGCTGCAGCAGGCTGGTGGAGCGGGTTTGGACAGTCCAGGCATTGAAAGAGAAACAAGCTTCATGGGTAGCTGAGGGAAGTCTGGTGCGCATTTTTGAGCAGTCGGCTGTGCTCCTGTCCTGCTCCGATGATTGCTTTCCCCGGTTGTTCGCACGACGAGGGCTTCTCCCAAAAAGCAGGTTCCGCAAAAGACTCACGGTCGCATAGTGACATGTTCCGCCCATGGGCCAGAGCCAGGTCCTGCAGGCCACAGTGACCGCAGAGCAGCTTGTTTGCAAGTGGTGGAACACCTTTCGCATGTCGACAACAGCCCTGGCTTTTGTCTCACTCTGTGTGAGATCTCACATCGCCTGTGAGGCCCAACGTTGGCTACTGCCAGGGGATGAATTTCGTGGCAGCCACCCTGACATGCCCCAAGGTTTGAAGCGAGCGGTTGCGGTGTGCTCATGAAGCGTTCGAGACCAACCTCTCAAGGCTAATCCATCTCGGTTCAGCGAGCGATGCCTTTTGGATGTTGCTCGCTCTGCTGGAAAGTTGCTGCCTCATGGCCAGCATCAAGACCGCACGCCTTGCCCGCCTAATGCGGCAGGCTATCACTACAGGTTCGTCTTCGCTCCGGGGGCGAAGAACTGAGAAGTTCTGTGGTTTCCGAAGCCACTAGCCGCTAGCCGCTAGTGTTCAGGTTCCACTCCTGCCGTCGGGGACTCGGGCCACAGGGAAGTGCGAGTGCTTTCGTCAAGAAGGACGTGCCCGGTTTGCATACTGTTTGCGTGGCTGCATGGCTAGTAGTGCCACCAACGAGGCTTCGCGTTTTCCAGTTTGCCGGCATCGTGCAGAGATGCCTGCCCAGACTGTGGCGACACCTCAAAGAGGATGACTGCACGCTTGGGAGCCAGAGCCAGTCAGCAAGAACCAAGAGTGTAAGTCTGCGATGGTGTTGCGGCTGCATTGCCTGCAGGATGGGCATTCCTTGGAGATTTTTGCTCACCAGTGTGTCTGCCCGCCAGCATACCTACAGGTTATGCGCTGCGTTCCTGACGGTAGCAAGGTGCTAACGCTTTTCTCCTACAGCTTGGAGTGGGCAGCTTAAACGGCCGAGTTTTTGAAGCTTCATTTGAGGCTTCGCACTTATGAGGCCTGGTCTTCTTGCATTTGTCTACGATGCTTTCTTCCTTCAGGGCTGGAAGGCGGCCTTCCTGACTTGCATCGGAGGCAAGATGTAAAATGAACTGCTCAATTGCCAGGCCGTCTTCCGAATAGGCCGGTGGCCAGAGCGTTGAAGATTGAAGTTCGGTGATGTGGAGCGGCGACAACATTACATTCTATGAAGACCCCTGTTCAAGGTGCGAGCTTGCTGGCATTTCTGGAGGACCAGCTGCGCCAAGCTTACAGAGAAAGCCAGCCCCCGGTGGTCTCTCCTGGCGGAGTTAGGCTGCAGATGGACCTCGAGGACATCTCACACCATTTGCACCAGACCAACCCTCAGCTCGCTCAGCTCGAGTTGAGTCCGAACGAGTCGTGCTGCCGTGCGTGCTGCCGTGCTCGTGAGACTTGCGTCTCGCCGCAAAGGTGCAAGAAGCATCTGCGCCTTCCGCGCCACAATGGGCCATTGTCCCACACTAGCGCGGCAGTGCATCACGTGGCTTTCGCTTCACTCCTAGAGCATGGGAAAACGCGTGCGGTACAGGCTGGGGGTTCGTCATTCAGAGAACCGGTTGAAGGGCACGGACGGCTCCATCGAAGCACGCAGCTTTACCTTTGATGTTTCGTGTCCGAGAGTGGGGCCGAGGCAACTTGGCCCCGCCGCCTTCCGCGTGCTGCTGCGCTTTGACGTGGGCCTGGGGAGTTTCCCGGCAAGCTGGTTTGGGATTGGGACATCGCGGCCCTGAATCTTCCGTAATGAAATTCTACGAAGTCAAGCGTAGCAATCAGCTGAGGCCTTGAGGAGCTGGAATCGGGCTTTCAACTCCAGCGGCTCGAGGCGATTGCCCGTGGTTCTGTCAGGTTGGAGTAAATGCTCAAAAGTGGGTGTCTTGAAAGCCACACGGGCAGGGCACGAATTTAAGTTGGGATCAGAGTTCTTGCAGCAGCGTTCCTGTGTTCTGCCAGAACATGGCTCCAGCACCACCTCACGAAAGAGAAGCTGGCAGGTGCTGTTGTCGCAGGTGAGCGTCCCCGGTGAACACGATGCTCAGGCTGTGGATGGGATGCATGTCTGCATGCATCTCCATTCCAACGGAAGCTGGTTTCTCCACAGTGAAGCAAGCACATTGCTGTTTTCGGCTGAGTCTTGGCTTCGGTGTAGTCTACAGACTCGCACATACTGGAGCTGCCAAGATGCTTCCTTCAAACACCAAAACCACCCGGATCCAATTTCTACGAGAAACCACAGCATCCATTTCCTAAGCGACGAGGCGGGAGTGACTGATGCTAGACTAACTTCCTTCTGCGGCCGCGGCGACGGCGGCAGCTCTGCAGCTGGCCTTCGGCAAGGCCACTAGCCACTAGCAGCCAAACGCAAGATGGCGTTGTAAAGGATGGTCAGGTCTTAGTCATCCCCCAAACCATTAAACAGGCTGCGATTTGCTTTAGTACGTGACGT